GGGGCGCCCGAGTGGCCGAGAGGATGCCTTCCCAGGGACAGTGGTTTCGTGCATTTGCTGTGATTCCGTGTATTTCAGTTCTGTCAGAGTGTCAGCGTCCATCTCTTGGTAAAGTCCTTTCCTTGCTTATCCCGATGCTGTTAATGTGCTGACGGGAAGTTTACTGTCTTGTTCGTGATTCTTCCAGAAGTGATCCTTGACGATTTCTTTACCCGAAGTAGCCATCCATACCAGGTGTAGCCTGGATACAGTATACAAATAGATCATTAAAAAGGATGGTTGTCAAGCAAAGGGCCACTTATTTTATATTTTCCCTTCTTATTTTAAGCCCTGTGAGTAAATCAGATGTTGAATTTTTTTGCAAAGGAATTAACAGCCACAAGGTTCTCTCTCACTGCCATCAAAGTACTGAAGATTAAACTGCAAAGTCTAGTTCAACAGGTTGTTTTGGGACGTTTTTGTATTATGGATTGAGGAACATCGTCTGACTTTTATTTACCAGGTGGGGAGTGGGGTTCGAGTTTTAAAACACCTCTGTGTTCTGATGTTGCCTTAACATTTTGCTGTTACAGCAATTAAAGTCATCTTCACACACATCGTGAACTAACATTTCATGGGATACATTGCTAAGCTGTGAAACCTGCTACCTAACATCCAGGTAGACCATGTGGTCTGAGAGTGGAAAGCCACTCGGTTTAGAGAAACGGCAACTCTCTGGCTGCTGACGTGCAGAGAGGACAATGCTGTGCTTTGTGAATGGAAGAAAGGGAAAACCTAGGGCAGAGAAACACAAAACAGGAGCAGGTTTGGTAATAGTTTTATAGTAAGCAGTTCCGGGTTGATGATTACCCCAGCAGGCCGATTTTACACGTACAGCCTTGGGCAAGTCACATGTGTCTCGTGGGTACCCTTCGCCTCCTCCCCGTTTCCAGGGGGGCACTTGCCACGTAACTTGTGCTGTTGAACAGAAATTATTCAAATGGTGACCTAATCCACAGTGTTTTTGAGCTCACTGAAAGGACGGTGGCTCGTACCAGCTTGAGTCTCCTGTCTGGCCACGAGGATTCTTGGCGTGGCCCTCAGAGCCGCTATCAGGCTGAGTTTCCACCACAAGGAAAGAAGTAGAGACGAGGCATAAATTGCTGTGCGTTGTTGGATTTTAGAACAATTTTCTTGACCACCCTTTCTACGGAAGAATTTGTAGAAAGAAAAAAGTTGTTAGGATCTTAAAGTGCCTAGGATGCTCTTCTGAAATGTGCAGTTGTTGCTGCCCAGATTGAGCCGAAAAGGCTTGGAGTTACACGATCACACACGGGCAGGGAGTTCGCCTTTCTGAGTGTCGGTTCTGCTTGAGAGGAGTCACGGTTTTGGCAAAAGTTACGGATTTCAGTTTCAATAAATACATTTTAAGTAGAGGAGCAGATTCTGGTCTTAGGACTCCATTTGAGAATTTAGAAGTGTCAACATTCTTAATTATTCTGTTGTGTTTGTTGCTGGCTTGTTGTAAAGCAATAAAAAGAGTTCCCTTTTCTTTTTCTTTTCCTTTCCTTTCCTTTCACTCAGTGTGTTGCCATGAGAACTCTTCTATATGGACAAGAAATCCTGAATGTTTTTTGAGGCTCAAGAAGAGCAGGGTGATGGGCGCTTACTGTTGGGCAGTAGTTAAAGCAGTCAGGACAGCAGCACTCAGTTCCGTAGGGCGCAGGTCACACCGGGGGGCCTCCCTTGACTGGGAAATTACAAGTATTTTAACTGAAGGTGTTGAGAAGCCTTGGCTCTGGTTTTAGTGCACCGGAATTGCTCTTGCCAATTTTAGGAAATCGAACAGTTTAGAGAAAACAGATGAATGAGTGGCTGCTTTCTGTATAGATTTATTTATGAGAAGAAGAGAACCCCATAAATACTTTATAAGATTTGCCTGATCTTAAACTTGAACCATGAGTAGCGCTCAAGAGAACTTAAAGCACAGAAGCCCCTTTGGCAGTGTTTTGAGACCTTATCTTAAACAGGCGGGTGAAGAGAGGAGACGGATGCGCAGGCCACGGCTAACAGTGGCTCACGGTTGTGTGCTCAGAAATGACAGCTTGCTTGCTTCTTGATGGAGACTAGACTGTCATAGGTGGAACGTCATTGTCACGCCTCACAGCACAGTAAGGTTTTCCCAGAGGCTGAAATAATTCCTTTTCTTTGTATTCACTGTGAAAAGCATCAAACAAGTAAAATGAACCCTCTCCCTTCCCCCATCCGGTACAGACATGTAAGGGAGGTGAGATTGACTGCAGCGGTGGGTGGAGGGAGGGTGGGGTGCAGGAGAGGGAGGAACCAGCTTACCCGTCGGGGTTCTGGGCTGGGTGGCTGCGGGCTGCAGGTGCTCCTGGCCAAGGGAGGTGGTGGGAGGGGCTGGGCAGGGGACACGTGCTTCTGGGTGTGGGACCGAGGGTGCTTGGAGCAGCTAGTGGGAGGTGTCCAGCGGAACAGGGGGAAGAGGAGCCTCCCATGGGGAGCTGGGCGGCCCTAGCACGTGTGCTGTAGGTGAGTCGGGAGGGCGGGTGCCCTGTGGAGGGAGGCAGGAGGAGCTGAGGATAAGCCCCGGGTAGGGGCAGGCTCAGTGTCCGGCAGAGGAAGGCGGTCCCTGAGGGTGTGGAGAAACGGTTCCACGGGTGGACGGGACCTGGGGTGTGGGCTCGGGGCGGTGCCGAGTTCCGAGCGCCAAGGTGGAGGTGGGGCTCCTGCTGTCACTCTGCCCCTGCGTCCACACACACTGTCTCTCCTTGGTGCTCCTGGGCCTCACTCCACAGCCTGACAAGGCACAGCCATCTGCAAGTAGCTATGAATGGGGCCCGTGTAGTTAAAAGTTAGTGTAGAAGATACGTGGAGACTTGTGCTTGCCTCAAGATTGGGATCTAGCTGCAGTGGAGAGGGAGGTGAGGAGACAGAGGCGACAGATGAGGTGCTCAGCCGCCGTCCGAGCGCCTGCTGTGTGTGCACAGCATCGGCAGCTTTACTGGAGTGCACCGTGCATGTAAACGGACCTGTGTCACGTGCACAGCTCAATGATTCGGTTCACCAAGTGGTGCGGCAGTCACCCCCTCAGTCTTAGGACGGCCGTGTCTTGCAGAAGAGCCCCGCTCCTGTCCCCTCCCCAGCAGCCACGAGTCTGCTTTCCTTCTCTGTAAACTTCCCTTTCTGGACGTTTCACATCAGTGGGATGATGCGCGTATCGTCCCTCGTGTGTCCACTTAGCATTACGTTCTTAAGGTTCCTTTGCGTTACCAGTTTGTTCCTTTTCCCCCCTGAATCGTATTCCATTGTACAGATACTCCACATCTTACCCACTCGTCAGATGATGAAGATGATTCAAGTGTTGACTTCTTGCCTGTTAGGAACACCCTTGCGCAAGTCTGGGTGTGAAAGGATATTTCCATTTCTTTTGGACGGATACCTAGGAGTCTGGGGTGAAAATGGGAATTTCATAATTAGCTTTTTAAGGAACTTCCAATCTGTCCTCCCATCAGCAACATGTGAGGACTCCTCACTGAGCTAGAATTCAAGGTGATGCAGGCAAGATGTCATAATGACAGCACTGAATTCCTGGCTAACTTGAGGGTGTTTCCTGTAAGAGTGTAGGGGGTGTAATTTGAACTAGTTCATGAGAGACAGAGGCTTTAGGTGAGCGTGGAAGTAGAGGAGGTCATTTTGGGAGCAGAATGACTGGGACCAAAGCAGAAATATATCAGACATTTACTGTGGGTGGGGGTGTCCCCGTTTGAATGGAGGGGTCAGTCTGGCAAGGTTGGGTTGTTAGAAGAGCCTGAATTGAGCGGGGAGGGCGTTTGGACTTTGCAGGACAGGCTTTGGAGGATGTCAGGGTTTTTTTGAAGAGGGGAGTGGCAGCTTTGGAGTCAGACAGCCGTGGTTCTGGATCCTGGTCTGTCATGTTGCTGGAGGGGAGAGACCGGACGCAGGGAGACCTGGAGGAAGCCCTTGCTGTCTCTGAGGTTATCAGGGTCACTGGTGATGGGGTGACTGGGGAGGGTGC